GGTCCTGTTTTCTTTCTCTCAACCCCAACCAGCAAGCTGCCCGTCCCAGCAAGAGCCTAGTTCTGCCAGAAATGTCACCCTGTTCAAAGGGCGTTTTTCCTTCCCACTCTCACCAAGCACTTGCTCAGAGGGGAACATTTGATTGTTGGGGGTTTCTCTGTGTGTATTGTTGTAGGATCTTTACCTTACAATATAAAGTGCCTTGAGGCGACTGCTGTTGTAATTTGGCGCTATATAAATAATATTGAATTGAAATGTGTGATCCATGCATTATACTTACCTATGACCAGTGATGTCACAGATGTCAAATATTTTACATATTTCAGTAACATATTAAATGGCACATACAGACAGTAATTAGATCTTTGCTTGGTTTGTCTTTCAGGGTGCAGCAGATACAGTTACTGGGTCGTGACATGAAAGGGCCAGCACATGACAAGCTCTGGAATCAACTGGAGGCAGAAATTCACCTTCACCGCCATAAAACTGTGATCCGAGCATGTAGAGGTCGAAGTGACCCAAAGAGACCTCTTCCCTCTCCTGTGGGACATGTGAGTGTAAAACTACAAAGTAGTGAAAGCTGTTGGTACCTTTAGTTCTGCGTCCAAAAGTTGTTTTTGTGTGTAATTACAGGATCCAGACATGCTGAAGAAAACCCAGGGAGTTGGCCCTATCCGAAAGGTTGTGCTGGTCAAAGAGGATCATGAGGGTCTAGGAATTTCCATTACAGTAAGAAGTCTCAGTATTTTATCTTTTTAATCAGCAGCTGGTCATGTTTGGATCAAACCTTAAGTAAAATGGTAAATGGTAAATGGCCTGTATTTGTATAGCGCTTTATCGTATCGAGTATCGAGGTTCTGTTCTCTGTTCACTCCCCATCTGAAGCTAGGGGGTTTTCATCTACTAAGATGATGCGGTCAAAGCATATTTCGGTCATCAGTGGTAATGAGCAGGACCATCTCCTCCAATTTCTTGGGGGTGACATTTACTTGCACCTTGCATTCTCTTTGTCTTTAAGAAGCACTATCATCCTTGTTTAAGCTTCAGTTGGTTAGATGTCCACTTTGTCTAAGGCTGTTTCAATAAGTATGTACAGTGGGGCAAAAAAGTATTTAGTCAGCCACCGATTGTGCAAGTTCCCCCACTTAAA